TAACGAAAGGATTGCTGAAGAAAATTCAGGTTGCACATGAGAAGAGACAGCATGAATTTTTAGTGGTTAAGTCAGAGTAATTCTGTGACTTTCTCCAGCAATCCTTGGAAACCTGGTTGAGTGTTTTGAATGTTTCTTGAGGAGGGAAACAATATCACTCTGACATTATTTTAGGAGCATCATTTTAACACTTATTGGAGAGGAATTCAATTGCCAGTAGAAAATTATCTAGGATGGTAGAATATTTCAAAAGTGAAGAAGTGAAAGAAAATCTGGATGCAATAGGAACTGAAGTGAAGAAATGTATCCTAGGATCATTGTGGAGAAAGAGTCAATAGGATTTGGTAATAGATGGAATATAGGGGATGAAGGAGAAAGAAAAGTAAAAGAAGGATGCCTAAAATTTGGGAGCTTAGAAAGCTCAAGAATTCTAGCAATCAATGTTGTAGACTTTTTGATTTGGTTCACTTTGTTTATCCTTAAAATGAGGGGGATAGATACCACCTGCCAGAGGCTATGGACTTGGGATGTAGAATGAGACATAGCCAATGTGGAAATTTGTTTTGACTATCAACATTTGTTACGAAGGTTTTCTTTTTCTTTTTCAATAGAAGTGAGGTTAGGTGAGGTATAGAGAAAATAGATTTTCATTCATTATATTTTTTTTTAAATTAAAAAATTTTAAATGAGACGATTAGATGAAATGATTTCTAAGGGTTAAGTCCAATGATATGATTCTATTACTATGGCCAAATATAGTAAAACAAGTCAACAAATTAAATTAAAATTTAAAAACATTTATTTATAACCCAAAATTCATCATTATCTAATGGTGAGGGAATTTTTGATAATCAGAAAATTCACAAATGCAAAATTTTGGATTTCAGTACTACAGTCTTCTATCAATAATTTTAGGTAGTATGGTCTACTAGTAAAAAGTATACTGGACTTCAAGTCAAAATACCTGAGTTTGAGCACTTCAAAGTCATATGACAGGTTAGTGTACTTCTTTGACTCTCGATTTCCTCATCTGTAAAATAGGTGTAATACTGCTTATAATGCCTACCTCATAGGGTTGTTGTAAGGAAAATACTTTGTAAACTGTAGAACAGAAGAAAAATGTCAGCTATTATCATTGACTACAAAAAGATTCTTTAGGGAAAATATAAGGCAGGATTAATAATATTTTGAGGAGTTACAGTATAAAACATATTTGATATGTGTAACATGATTCAATTGATACACCAGTCACCATTTAAGTTTCTATAAACAGATATTTTGGTTTTAGATATTATAGGCCACAGAGGTAGATCTAATAAATCCAGAAAAAAAAATGAGGGGGGAAAATCACCTACAAGAATATTTTAGAGAATATATAACAAAGGTATGTTTAAAAACCACCTACATTTTCTGCCTTATTTTACTGAGTATCCTTAGATCCAAAGCAAAATTACACTAAATTCCTTTCTTCCCCATCCAATGAGACCGCTAAATATCCTAATTTGATATGAAAAGATGCCTACCTTTTTACTGCACCAAGAAGATCAGTGGAAAGAGAAAATAATGCCCTGTAATGGAGAAGGTAGAAAAGGGACTTGGACACTTCTAATCTACTTATGAAGGCATTACAGCTCAGCCTCTAGCTTCCTTCCTTCCCATCTGTCACTGTAATGTGTTTAGGTGCTTTAAGCCTCATAGAAGTTCCAGGTATTCCCGTAGTGTTTGTGATAGGTTGGCACTAACTGTGTTTACACATTGTGTGGAGTGAATTGATTGGTTACTACTCAGTTGTTTGAACTAATTGAATTAATTGTCCCCAGACTTTGGACCTATGTTGAAAGTTACAGATCTGTCACCAGGGGGTTGTTACCACCTTCGTTTTTCTCCTCTGTAAAAGGAAGGGACTGGGCCAGATGAGGTTGAAAGACCCTTTTAGCTCTAATACTTTGTGATTTTATGACTCTTGTCAACTAGCTTCCTTTGAGTAATGATCTTTGCACAGCTTAGATTCTCTGGACAGACATTTCTAATAAGCCTTCACTAAAATCTTAGTTGTCTTCCTGTCCCCAGTATTCTTACTCTTTTCTTAGGAATTGTAAACATATATATAGGTTTTTCCAGTCTTGGTGGGGCGGAGAACAAATAAACATGTCACTTAATTCTTCCATTACATCAAGCTCTACCCTCCATTTCAGTGTTCCTTTTTATTACCAACTTCTTGAATTTGGGCATTTACTTGAGTTTTTAGTGGTTGCCTCAATTAAAAAGCACTAACAGCAAGAAAACCATCACAACTAAACAGTAATTTATCCCCAAGCACTCGCAATCTGGATCACACACAATTTTGTAGCTACCATGCTAAAGAAGAGGAAAGCTTGTAATATGGTATATTCCAGAAGGCATAAGACAGAGGCTTACAACCAAGAATAATCTATCCCACTAAACTAAGTTTAATCCTATAAGAGGAAAAAAATAGCTCTTGGATGAAATAGAGGACTTCAAAGCATTCGTGATGAAAAGAACAGAGCGGAGTAGAAACTTTGAAATATGAACACGAGTCAAAAGAAACCTAAAAAAGGTAAACATTAACAGTAAGGGACTGATATTTAATTAGGTTTTGGGATCTCTGTACTAAAAGCCACAGTTTCCTATGGATGGTGACATGGCTTGAAGTTTTGTTGAAGCCCTGATTGTTGCTTCATGAGAAGATGTTACCTAAAAGTCCCAGTCTAGGGATTTTCATGTGTTTTCAGAACCTACTTGCTCTTAGACACAACATTTACTTAAGCATTTTGAATCATCCAAAAATTTAAACAGTCCAAAAAAAAGGCCTTTATTTAACCTTTTGGTTTTTCTGCTTTTTTCTAATAATGATATATACCGAAATTTACTTCAGTGAGAGGTGCAAAGCTGATAATATGTGAGCTATCTTATGACATAAATTTGTTTCATCCTGGAAGTATAATGAAGGCCAATTTTTAGTTTTTCCTTTGTATTTTAATTCACATGGACTAATGTATTTCTCATTTTGTAAACCCAGCATTTTACTTTGGTTTTCTGATCAATCATGTGTGAGATTCTGATTTCTCCCCTTCCCCATCAAAGAAAAGGAGAAGGTGGTCTTTGGGAGAAAGTATATTGTGATTATGACATTTCTTTAGGTAAAGGAATAGTTTTCAGTTCCCCTGTTTCCCTCAGGTCCAACTTGGCAAAAACTCAGGAGCAGCAGAAGCTCATTTCCCACTTAATTCTTAAGATCCCTGTCCCCAGTCAGAGAAGCCTTGTATTTAATGTGGGTGATAATGCTAAATAGTAACAGGAGGGGATATTTATATGTTATGTAGTTTACAAAACATGTTCTTCACAATTACCTTGTTAGGCAAGTAGCATGAGGCTATGTATATGGACCTGGCCTTGGAGCCAGGAAGACCTAAGTTCAAATTTTACATCTGACACAGTGTTGGGTGACCTGGGAAAACATTTAACATCTCTGTAGCTTAAGTAACTCTCTAAGCCCACAAGTTGCAGAGATGATGCTGATCTACATTGATAGAGGGAGTTTCCTCATCTATTCAAATGAAAACACCTTAAGACTATTTTACAGGAGAAGAGCTGAGGCCAAAAAGGTTGTGACATGCCCAAAGTTGCTCAGAAAGTGTTAAGAGATAGGACTTGAATCCAGGCTTTCTGACTCCAAATTGAATGCTTAATCCACCATAAAGCACTACTTCAATTAAATTAAGAGAAATAGAGTGAATTTGTTGTTGTTGTTGGGGGTAGACAGCCATACCTGTGAAGTCTTTTGTGCAGAGAATTCCCTCCAGTGATAAAGATTAAGAGTTCATCTATAATTTATAGTCTTAAATTGTTTGGGTCATTGAAAAGTCAAATGACTTACCGAGGGTCACACAGCCAGTAGGTAAGGGAAGCAGGACTTGAATCGTGGTCTTCCCGACTCCAAGGCTAGCCTCTATCAACTATGATATCATGTTTCTCATACCATGCATATAGACTTTCTGTTGTTCAGTCATTTCAGTAGTTTTCAATTTTATGACTCCATTTGGGGCTTTCTTGGCAAAAGATACTGTAGTGGTTTGCCATTTCCTTCTCCAGTTCATTTTACATATGAGGAAACTGAGGTAAACAGACTTAAGACTTGCCCAGGGTCACACAACTAGTAAGTATCTGAGGCTGGATTTGAACTCGGGTCTTCCAGACTACAGGCCCAGTGATCTATGAGAATATAATCAGTGTATGGATTGGCTGGGATTAGTGTTAGACCTATTTCTACCCCTCAACTCAATATCTTCTCCCTTCCCCCACTCCCCAGAAAATGTCAGAAAGGGAAACCAAAAGTATTTCTAAATATTCATGAGGAATCCATTGGTACATTCAATACACATATACAGTCAGGTTTGGACACTCTTAGGACGAATGACAAAATGGCACATGGGGCAGTTTTAGCCATCATGCATTCCCTCTGCCAGGGCAAATAATGGGCTGAAGTATATGCTACCTTACCTCGTGAATCAGTGACTGGCATTCACTCATTGTACCCAAGCTTGTGACAAGTATTTGTTCAACAACTGCTTTATTTCTCCACTAGTTGCAAAAATAACAATAAGTATTAAAAATCAATGTCTGTTTGGGCATAAGCATGCCGGCATGGAGTAAGCGCTTAATAAATGCTCTATCTTTCTATCAGTGAATAAACAAAAGTTTGTGGGGCTGGTTCAGTAATTCACAAATTTGAAATCGTACAATTTTTCAGCCATTGAAGCTTCTGATTCATGCTAAACATGACCTTGTATATGTGGGGCAGACTGGCTGAATCAAGATCCATTTAGTTGCAACCTGAGCTAAATTAATTGCATCTGTTCTCCCTTTATGTATGAAACATATATTACAGAGGCTTGCATCTTTAAACACAGAAACACCTGAAGTTTAAACACTTAGCAAGTAAAACTTCCTTTTAATTAGAGATGAGCTGGCAAAGTTTATTTGGCAAAATATTTTATTGACCAAAGTCTAACAGTTATAGTTTTCATTCTTTCATGTACAATATTTAAATTAGCTGAGATAAATTTGTTTATAAAATAACACCGATTATTCCTTTTTAATGGAGCTATACTGTGGCATAGCCACATTCAGTCTAGATTCCCAAAGACAACACAGGGAAATGTAAAATATACATTTAGGACATAAAATCATGATTTTTCATCTACAAATCTAAAAGAACAATGAATGAAGAATGACCCAAACCTGAGTCCTTAGAGTGGCAAAGTAGAGGCAAAGTCAGAGGTCACCAGCTATGATGCTTTGCTTACTATGGGGAAAGAAGGTTGGAAAGGAAGGGGGAAAGTCCAAGTTCCCACCTCATTGGGAAAATTTGTTATCCCTCCAGCAGAGGGATGAATGGAGCAGATTGATTTTCAGTTATTCTCTTCATAAAGTCCTTCATTAAAATAAATACTTTAAAGTATATTTAGCTAACACAAAAAATTCATGTTGCCTGTTTTAGTTCAAAACCTTGGGTTTATTTAAAAGGGAATATATTTTAATGGAAAAAAGTGGCAAGAGCACAAATTAAAATTGATCTAATTTAAAGAAATAATTGTCTTACATGAAACAATGGTAAATTGAGATTGTCTCAACTTAATGATACAACCAGAAATAGAAACATGTACATAGTAATCACTATATCTGATTTCTTTGTATTTAAATCAAGACTCAAAAAATGCTATTTTAATGGCAGATTCACTGTATTTTATTCCTCCTCATTCTCCTGCTCCTCCTCCTTGTACTACTACTACTACTGCTACCATTACTACTACAGTAAATATAGGGACAAGAATTGGGTAGTAGAAGGAGTCATAGTAACAGAGCCTATTATTCTCAACCTAAGTTCCTAGTGTTTCTGTCTTCCATGGAAGCAACTTCTAGAACTTTGACTTTCAATTCAGTAATCTGAGAAAACTTGGTAGACTCAAAGATTTCTCTTCCTACATTATAGAGCTGTATCTGTCTTAATTTTGATCCAGAAGGAAAATGAAATAAGAAGCAAATGTCCTAGAAATTCCAGTAAAGACAGGCAAGGATTCCAAATGTATCAGCCACAGTTGACAGGTCTGGGAGAAATGTGGTATAGAGTCAACAATTCAGTGAAAGAAGGCTTTGCTAACAAAAAATATGATGAAATGGTATCAGTTTGGGGAGACCCTGTTCTATTTTTCAAATTGCATTCCAAAGTATACCAATATCAATTGATAAAGTGATCTTCAAATGTTTAAACTTCACTTAACTTTTGAGGGAAAAAAAGTTCCATTTCTTTCTCCTTTCATAACCTTGTGAGAAAGCCCAGTTTGAAACTGCTGGGGATCTCTATCATTTCCAGAGCATGTGGAGAAGGGATAAAGGGAAATGTGACTTGAAAGAGATATTTGGTATCCAACATCAGCTGGCCTGTGTCCTCCCGGCTATTTAGTAGAGCCTGAAATGAGAGCCAAAGGAAAGAGGGTAATGTCAATAAACACTTTCATTCTTCTTTGCTGGATATCTAAAATTTCCAAGGGAACACATAAATATATTTATTTCCAGTACTTCCTACTCTGTTTTCATTAACTTTGATCCACTGCATGCTATTTCAGTCTAGGCTTTCACTCCTCAGGGGACTAATTAGTTATACTGGTTTCTGACTTCTCACTATTAATGACAGCTCATATTTTCTTTCAAGAAAATCTCAGATTCATTAGTTACCACTAGAAATTTTAATAAGGCCCTATAATAGTTTGCAAAACACTTTCTTCACAACAATCTCTCTACAAATAGGGTAATAATTATCATTGCCATTTTACAGAGTAGGAAACTGACAATCAAGGTTAAATGATTTGTTCAGGGTTACATAGCTGCTAAATTGTAGAGCTCAAGCCCAAGTCTACTGACTTTGAGTCTTTCTAGAAAACAATATTACCCCTTGTCATAATAAATAGAAATTGTCATAGCGTAACTCTAAATCCAAATATGAAAAGACCTCAAATATTTTAAATTTTATTGAGCTAATCTCTCTATGCATTTCCCCCAAATAATTGGAGGAAATGGGCAGAATCCTTCCCAATTCATTTAAGAAACACCGTACTCACTTAAAAGAAAGATTCAACATTAAGCTCAGTACTCACCAAACGTGACGAAGACTCAAAAGGCAAACTTTTTTAAAAAAAAATGTATTTAAATGCTTTGAATAAACAAAAGAAAAGAGCTACAGGTAGGTGTTTTCTTTCCCTTCCTTTACCCTTCCCACCCTCATTGCAGCTTTTTCAGTTCTGTGTTCTAGTACTTGGAAGTTTCCTCCTGACTCAGGCAGCTTAGGGTCAAGGTATTCCTTACTACTTGTGACTTTGGACAAATCACTTCAACTCTTTGGGCCTCAGTAGCACCAGCTGTAAAATGAGTGGATTTGACTAACTGATCTCTAAGGCTCCTTCTAATGCTAATAGTCTAGAATCTATGATCTTCTCTACTCATCTCTTTTATTTACACAGAATATCAACAGTAATGACACTTAGCAAGGCATAGACTGGTGGCTAGAATTCTATATCAGAAGTTCACTACCTTTTATCAACTGACAGAAAACAAATTCTCGTGCTACAAATATAAACCTCAAAATATCCAAAATAACTCAACCAATAAACCATACGTTGTCAAAGACTAACCTGTTGCTCATAGTTACCTGGAGAGTGTATTGTTCTGTAAAAATTTAATAACATTTTGAACACATACCACTAAATCAGATATTCAGTCTCCAAGCTACACTGAAATGAAAAACTTTCACAATAAGGAGACCTATCAGAAGACATCAAAAGTGTGTAGGAACAGGTATATATCCTCCCTGTTCTGTCTGCTACCAGAGTTGTATTGAGGATACTTTTAGTGATCCTATGAGCTTATATTTTTATGCTTTTTTCTTTTTTAAATAAGTTTTTGTTTATGCTTTTTTATGTCATCAGTTTTCCCCAGTATCCCTCTCTTTCATATAACAAAAGAAAAATCAGCACAACTGATATATTGAAAAAATCCAAAAATGGAGGTTACGTGCAAAACCTCCCACACCTCTGAGACGTGAGTTGGAGCAACCTTTAATATCTCTTCTTTTGAGTCATGCTTGTTCTTTACAATTTTGCAACATTCACTTTTGATGTGTGTGTGTGTGTGTGTGTGTGGTTTCCATTTATATTTTTGTAGTCATTATGTATATTGCTTTCTTGGCTTGCTTACTTCATTCTGCCTCAGTTCATGTAGATGTTTCCATGCTTCTTCGTATTCACCACATTTGTCATTTCTTACAACACAGTAACAATATTCCATTACATTCATATATCACAATTTGTTTAGCCATTCCCCAATCAATGGGAATCTTGTTTCCAATTCTTTGCTATCAGAAAAAGTACTGCTATAAATATTTTGGTATATGTATTCCTTATTAATGGCTGCCTTGGGGTGTAAGCCCTGTAATGGAATCTCTGGGTCAAAGGATACAGACATTCTAGTCACTTTATTTGCATAATTACAAATTATTTTCCAAAATGGTTTGGCCATTTTACAGTTTTATTAGTAAGTCTATCTTCCCACAATCCCCTCCCCTCAAATTTTATTACTTTTACTAATTTGCAAGGTGTGAGGTGAGACCTCATACTTGTTTTGATTTGCATTTCTCTTATTAGTGATTTGGAAAATTCTTTCATATGGTTGTAAATATTTTGCAGTTTTCTGAGAACCATTTGAACTTTGAACACATCTAAATTCAAACACATTCCCAATAGGGAATGGCTATGGATTATGTATTTGTTCATTGTTTCTATATTTTAGATACCATTAATGCAACAATATTTCCCCATTCTATCACTTCTTTCTTATCTTTTTTTTCCTTTTTTTTTTTTTGGCGAGGCAGTCGGGATTAAGTGACTTGCCCAGCGTCACAGCAAGTAAGTGTCATGTGTTTGAGGCTAGATTTGAACTCATGTCCTCCTCCAAGGCCGGACCTCTATCCACTGCGCCACTTAGCTGTTCCTTCCTTTCTTATGTGTATCAATGTTGTCTGTGTAGAAGCTTTTAAATTTCATGTAATCAAAGTTATCTATTTTATCTTTTTCAATTGCCTCTGTTCCTATAGTTTACTCATAGCTGTGAGAGTTATATGATCTGTTCTCTTCTAATTTTTTATAGTATGGTCTTTAACATTAAGATCGCATATCCATTTACAATGTTTTGTAGGATCTGGTGTAAATGTTGTCTAAGCCAGACTGTTTTCCGATTTCCCCAGCAGTTTTTAATCAAATAGGGACTTCTTTCCTAAATAATTTGCTTCCCACTTTATTGAACAGAGTTTAGTCCTATTATTTCTGATTCTCCCTTCTCTAGTTTGCTCCACTGATCTCCTCTCTTTTTAAACCAAAAATAAATGGTTTTGAGAATTGCCGCTTTATGATATAGGTCGAATTCTAGAAAGTATCCCTTTGACAATTTAATATAACATTAAAAGTATAAACTGACTTTAGTAGTACTTCCATTTTTGTTATTTTGGCATGGCCCAACCATAAGCACTGAATATTTCTCCAGTTCAGCTTGTTCTTCATTTCCTTAAGGAGCACTTTATAATTGAATTTATACAAGCCTTTTATGTATGTTGGTAGATTCATTCCTAGATACTTTATGCATTTTGTAGTTATTTGGAATGCAATTTCCTTTTCTATTACTTCTTGGATTTTGTTATTTTTATATGGAAATGCAGTTGATTTTTGAGGATTTGTTTTGTAGCCTGCGACTTAGCTGAAACTATTGTCTTGATTAGTATCTTTGCTGATACTCTAGGATTTTCCCAGTATGCCACTATGTCATCAGCAGATAGGCTTATTTCTTCTTTACCTATTTTTATGCTTTTAATTCCTTTCTGTTGTCTTATTTCTGTCATAAATGTTTACAAAAATATATAAAATAATAGTGGGGAGAGTGGTCATCCTTCCTTTATTATCATATTTATTGGAAAAGGTTCTAATAGAGAACCTTTACATATAATGCTTACTTTTGGTTTTAGATAGATGTTTTCTATATTAAAAAAAAAAAGTCTTCCTATGCCAATACTTTGTAGGAGGTTTTTTTTTTTAGCATAAATTCCTGCTGTGCTTTGTCAAAGACTTCTGCATCTGTTGAGATAATCATGTGGTTTTAGATATTTTGGTTTTTAATATGATTAATTATATTGTTTTCCTAATGTTGAACCATCCTTGCATCCCTGGTATAAATCAAACTTGGTCATAATAAATGATTGCTTGGATAAATCATGTAGTCTGGTTGATAGGTTTTTGTTTAAAAATTTTAAATTGATATTCATTAGCAATATTGAGCTATAGTTTTTCTTCCATTTTTATCCTTTTCTGGTTTAGATTTAAAGACTATATTTGTCTCAAGAGGATCCTAGTAGGGTGCTTTCTCTGTTTTTGAAACAAATGGCTACTAATTGTTCTTTAAAAGTTTGACAGAATTCTCTTGTGAATCCTTCAGGACAAGGAGTCTTTTTTTTTTTAGTTCCTTTACATGTTGTTCCATTCGGTTTGGGTATTTTTATATTTTTGAAGGTATTCCTCTATTATTTTTGTATTCTCAGTTTTGTTAGCATATACCTATTTGTGAGAGGTTCTGATTATTCTTTTTATTCTGGTTATGATTTTATCTGGTTATGATTTCTGCCTTTTTAATCAAATGGACTAAAAGTTTATAAATTTTATTAGTTTTATCATTTCTATGGGGTTTTTTTTCGATCTTCAATTTACATTCCTTTCTACTTAGTTTAGGCTTATTTGTTGGCTTTGAGATTTAAAAAATGCATATTCAGTTTATTGATCCTCTTTTTCTATTCTGCTAACATATGTTGGCAGTGATATATTTTTTTCCCCAAGGAATTCTTTAGCTGCATCCCAGAAATTTGGGTATGTTGTCTCATCATAATTTTCTTCCACATATTGTTTCTATGATTTGTTCTTTGAATCACTTGTTATTTGGGATTTCATTGTTAAGTGTACATTTGGGTTTATGTCCTTTGTTAGTGTGGTCCCTGAACCATTGACTATTTTTATTCTATTGTAGTCTGTAAATGATATATTTAGTCTCTCTGTCTTTTTTACATTTTGTTTGTAACATCCCTGTGCCTTAATTCATGGGTCACTTTTTTTGGGTAAAAGTTCATTTGGTGATCTTTTGTTGTCCCGTTTGTTTGTTTGGTGAGGCAATTGGGATTAAGTGACTTGCCCAGAGTCACACAGCTAGAAAGTATTTATTATGTGTCTGAGGCCGAATTTGAACTCAAGTCCTCCTGACTCCAGGGCTGGTGCTCTATCCACTGTGCCACCTACCTGCCTCTGCTGTCCCATTTAGAAGATGCCATAAATCTTTTAGCATTAGTTTCTCCAGCAATTTTGTTTGCATTTTCTCTTTCTTAAACTTATCAAAAACAGAGAAGAAACATTGAAATGTCCTGTCACTATTGTGTTATTGGTCTATGTATTTGTGCAGCCTAGTTAATGTTTTTCCTTATAAATTTGGATACTAATGTATTTGGAGCATATAAGTTTAGTATTGATATTGTTTTGTTGTCAGTTCCTTTCAGCATAATGTAGTTCCTTTTTTAAATTTAATTTTTGTTTTTGTCACATTTTAAGTTGTGAACTGTCTCCCTCCTCTCTTCCCACCTTGCACTGGAGAAGGCCACCATTTGACACAGATTTATAAATATGTGTAAAACCAGACGATATGTATTTTTATTTTTCAATTCTTTCTTTGGAGGTGCATAGCATCTTCCTTTACAGGTCCTTTATAGTTGATTTGAGTATTTATAGTATTCAGAATAACTTGGTTGTTCACAATTATTCCTCATAATGTAGTGTCTTCATCTTGTGTATGTTTTGAATGTTTATTTTTACCTTATCTGATAGCATGATTGCAACTCTTGTTTTTCTGAATTCACTTGTCGAATAGTACATTTTCCCTAGCTCCTCATTTTTACTGTATGTTCGTGTTTTTAAAATGTGTTTCTAGGAAGCAACAGATTATGGGATATTGGTTTCTTATTCTATCTGTGACTTTTTTCATTTTATTGGATTGTTTAATCCATTCATTTGTAAAGTTATGACAATGAGATTTAGGTGTTCCTCCCCCAAATTACAGTTCCCCCCCTTCCATTGTAAACACAGGAGTATGTCTCTCTAGTTTTTGAACTTAACTTTTTAAAAAAGGTGGCTCTATTCCTAGTAGCTCTCTTCCCCTGAACTTCAAGATCCCTCTCCCTCCCAACTTGCCTGGTTTGGGAGTTTTGCTTATTAGTTTCTTTTTCTTCCTGGCTTTTATCAGTTAAACAATCAAGTAGAATTCCCCTCCTCTTCTCCCTTTCAACTTTTGTTCATTAGTTTTAAATTTTCATTTTCTACACTTTTTCTAAAAAGGATTTTCTTTTTCTCATTCTCTTCATTATTTATCTTCCATTTCTGTTGATTCTTTGTCATTATACTTTGGTCCTTATTTATTCTCTGTATTTGTAATTGAATTAAACTTTTGAGGTCCCTATTTTGAGTTCTCTTTTCTAAACAGTTTTGTTATTGCCTTATAGAGATTGGCCCCCGGTACTTTTGTTGTTGTTGTTGCACCTCACTCTTGCAAAAACACCAATTCCTGCAGGTACTAGAGAGGATATTGTCCTAGGATAAGAATATTCGTACACCTCTGATTGTGAAGTTCATTATTAACCCTTGCCTCTTGGAGATCTTCTCCTGAGGCAGGATATGTGGTCTTCCTAAGAAGCAAATCTCTGTAGATCATTCCCATTCTTCCTTTAATTCCACATCTTCCTTTATAGAATATCTCACTTTTCCCATAAGAGCATACATATGTATTACTGAAAATAAGACCACCCTTTCCCCCGTTTCAATCCCTCCTTTTGTCTTCTTGAGCATTCTTCTTCCTCTCCTCTCTCTTTTTAATGTACCCTCCTATAATTTTTGCCCACAATAAAAAGCATTGATTCACCTGTAGGCAGGGTACTTGAGGGCTAGTCCATGATGTTTCAGGCCTCCTTTTCCATCATCACTTCTATTTGACTTCTGCTTTCACTCTTGTCTTATCATATACCTTTAAAAAGAAGTCTTTTAATGGTTTCTCTATTGTTACGTTGTTTTCCTTGGTTGCTGTATGTGTTTATCCTTCTGAGGTGCTGTCTGAGATGCTTGAGAAACAAATCATCTCTTCAGCTATGGTTTTATTCCTAAGGATATTTAGTGCATATTTATTATTGAACATTCATCTTTTTTTTCCATTTACAGTTAGGCTCAGGTTTTCAGGGTAGGTTACTTTAGGCTGCATCTTGAATTCCACTGCCCTTCAAAATACATTATTCCATTCCCCTCCTGCATTTTCTGGTGGGTGCAGAATAGTCTTGTGCTTGTGTTACTTGAATTTCATTTCCTTCATATTTGAAGGTCTTTCTTCTGCTTCCTTGTACAATTTGTTGTTTCCCAGTGGAATTACTAAATTTAACCACTAAGTATCTTGGAGTTTACAGCCTCAGGTTGGTTGGTTTGTTTACTTTTTCTTAGAAGCAATCTGTGGCTTCTTTTGTTTGGCATTTTGTTTTCTGTGTTCAGAAATTCTGGGCAGTTTTCTTGTATTATGGCGTTCAGGTTTTTCTTTTTATTTGTGTTCTGGGCATAAACATACATTCTAATACTTTTATTTAACTACAAAAACCTAGTTATTTTATCCATATGTACAATAGTCTATAAACACTACACACAAAAGAAAAATAGCAGGATGTCAACTTGTCCCATGATCATTTCTGTCTGAACCAATCAGAAAAGTTGAGAGCACGATGATAATAACTCATATTCATATAGTGCTTTGTGCTTTACATGTGTTAATCTCATTTGATATTCATGACAACCCTGTGAAGTCAGTGCTATTGCTACTCCCACTTGACAGATTAAGAAGTTGGGACTTAAGTTATCTGCCCAAGATTACACAGTTGCTAAGTGTGTGAGCCCAATTAATCTAGATCTTCCCGACTTCAAGTCCAGGATTCTCTCCCCTACACTACACTATGGAATATAGCTTAATCTTAGACCTTTAAAATATTGTTTAAATTTTCTCTTACAGTTCATTTTAAGAAGTAATTTTTTTAAAAAAGCTACTTATGAACCTTACCTGTACTTTGCGGACAAAGGATGGAGTCACTCTTTTCTCGAAGTCATCTATAGGTGTGTATGAATTAAGGATCTTTATGATCTGAAAACATCACAAAATGGTAATAAACCATGAAAAAGGTACATCCCTGTCCAAATAATGGTTCAGATAGCTTGTAAGTCACATTAGATTATTATTATTTTTTAACAATACAGTTCAATAAGATATTACTATCTGATCCTCACCTCACCTTCTAAGAAAGGAGAAAATAAAATTGTGGAGGGAACAAATAGAAATTCAGTCATAAGGATCTGAAAATATTTTCTTACAAAGAAATATCAGTAGTAAGGGAGACTCTGGTTGGGCTGTTGCCCCTGGGAATAATACAGGAACACAGTCAAAGGAATAAGTCCAGTTACCTGTACAGCAGACAGTGAGGTACAGCGATCATATATTTCTTTGGCATCAGTGTCTGTGATCTTTTTGACCTGGAGCAACCAGGCAGCCTGAGAAAGGGGTTCCAGAGTTTCCTTAGCTGTGCTGTTCTGCAAACTCTTATCTTTAAGCCATTCTTCTAAGTAGCTGATGTTGCACCTGGAGCAAAAATAGAAACGAACATAAATTTGGCATGTTTTTTTTTTTAACAACACTTTTGAAGAGGCAGTCACATCTATCAGCACTTCCTGGGTATGAGTCAGGGATGACTGGGGCCATGTCATAATTCATATGTGATCCTCATGACCACAGTAGGGCAGGGGAATGGTAGAACCTGAGGGGTTGGGAAATATTCTTAAGGGGGAGGAATAGTTGTTGCGAATGATTTGTAAGTTAGAGAAGAGGAAAAAAGGAAAAGATTGAACAAAATTACATATAAAAATTAAAATGGGGTAAATAGAGAAAACTAAAAGGTTAGACTGAGGTTAAGAGTTTGCTCACTCAGACTTTGCTAGTTAAATGCATAGTCATGATTAAGTTATTTAACCTTTCAGAGCCTTAGTTTCCTCATCTATAAAATAAGAATTATAGCACTTTCACACTCTTTTATCTCACAAGGTTGTGAGCAAAGAACAATTTTAAAATGTTGTGTGGACAACATGCCTCCTTGCCCCATTCCCCCCATCTAAGAGCCTTAATCCTCTCAACTTTCAACTCTATCCTGGGGTTAAACTGTTTTGATTGACAAGCTAGTGCAAACTCCTTTAATCTACTAAATCACACTCCATGTCTATCCACCCTGAGCATCTTGCCTATCTACCCTAGTCTTTGCACTTTCCATTTCTAAAACATGGACTCCTTATCTCACAGAATCACAGGTTAGAACTCAGAGGGACCTTAGAGACAATCTGTCTTAACTATTAATATTATTAATACTTACTATATTGAATCACCAAGCATTAAATGCCTACTATATGCCAGGCACTGTGTATACAAATATAAAGAGTAAAATAATCTCTACACAAGAGGAGTTTACACTAATTCTCTTTGTGACTTGGGATAAATTATCCACCTTCTCTGTGCCTTATTGTCTCTAGCTACAAGATGGAGATAACAGTGCCAAGCCTATGTATCTTATGGGAGTCACAGTAAGAGCGACTGAAAGCATCTTTAAAAAAGCACTTAGCTCCTTAGAGGAGAGTTCCTACTTCTATTTGGATGGGGCTTTGGGACAGGTATTAGAAATAAACTTCTAGGATCAGAAGTTCTTTGAGTCTTGCAGCCTAAAAGCAAGTTTAGTAGGACCTGGAGTTGTATGAGCCTATCTCTGCCATTACATCTCAACACCATGTTGGAAGGCCCATCAGTGGATTGAGAGTTTATTAAAACTATAACCCATTCAGATGTTGGGTTCACTTTAAACAGGTTGGATCACATCAGAGCACTACAGGACATCTGCTTGGGAGTTCTGGGCGAAAGTAAATAGCAATAAATAGTCTGTCACCTGTGAAAAGTGGGCACTCTGCCTAGTGGCAGAACAGATGTTATCTGTAAAGATATTTCAATGTTGGCTTTAATTTTAATGATCTTAAATGGACAGCTTCTATGCATCTGTAGCCCCTTGCATCTAATAATAATAAGGAAATCTGCTTGTCCTCAAAAGCAATGGCTTTACATTATCTATAGGATGATGTTCCATTTCTTGAGTCTGGTACTCAAAGCCTTCTTTAAATCTGTCCCCAGTTTATCTTTCCAATCTTATTTCCTACTATTTTCCCCAGTTCAAAACTTTACACTGGCCACTGTCCAGTAGCACATGCTTGGGTCTTTTTCTGTTCAGCCCATTATCCCACTTGGAATATCTTCCCTTTTCTTCTTTCCACTAGACTAAATTCTGTCTGTCCTTAAAGGTTCAATTCAATTCCCACCCGTTCCTGATCATCTCAGTTTACAGTGATCTCTTTCTTTTTAGTTAACTTTTCCCATTCCATTTCTTCATCAAGATGGCAAATTTCTCAAAGGCAAGGAGTTATGTCTCACACTTATTTATATGTCCTTTAGTGCTATTCACAGAATAGGTGCTAAATATTAATAATGGGATAATGGAACTCCCAGAAGGCAAAATGAAAAAAAAGTTGGAATTCTTGGTTTTGGGGTCTATAAGGCTTGTTAAGGCAATGTCCCTGGCATAAGTGTCTGGTGTTAATATGAGAAAGTTAGTATCTAACCATCTTTCACAGAACAAGCAGGATGGGACTCATGTCCAGTATAATGAATGAAAAAGGGTTACATATGGTGTGCATCCTGCTTTAAAAAGTTCTTCCTAAGCATCCCCCCCAACCGTTTCTGTCTCCAAACAGCCACAGCTTGCTAAGAGGCTTACTAGCTTTACCTTATCTGCATTCCTTTCCTACAAGAGCACATGTCCTTGCGAAGGAAGAGACTATTCAAGGTGACAGCTCCTATCAGAAAGAAAAGCTGCTTTACAGCCTGCTTTAGAAGCTCTTGGTCCAGCCCATTCTGACACATGGTAGTATAAAAATAGCTGAGCTGCTGCAGGATGGAGGTCATGGTGTAAGCATCTGTGTCATCAATGCTGGAGGACCGCTTACGGAATCCTGTTGGTTTTAAGCCAGAAATTCCCTGAAGGCTTTCATATTCCAACATTCCTGGTACTGAAGAAAGACATGAAAAGAAACATAGAAAACATTTCTCACACCCATAAGGAGACACTAGAAGGTTATTATTTTTTGTGGCTGTCATTTGTGGAGAACATACATTTCATTTTTAGGAGGCAAAACATTGTTTGGAACATAATCACAATAGTAACTTCTTATTGACACACCTGTGTGTGTCATTTGCACTCAGTACAACATAAGTTTCTTGAGGGCAACAGCTATTTTATTTTTGTCTATAAATTCCAGAACCTAGCACAGTGCCTGACACATAGTAGTCACATAATAAATACTTGTTGGATTTAACTGAATTGCATGGCACTAGCACTACAGACAAAAGAAGCTCAATGACACATAGGTATGAGGGTCAAAGAGGTGCATAATTAGATGGATTCATATGTGTGTTTGCAGAAGCTTCAACAAAACAGATAAAATAGATAGATACTGGAAAGAAGATAGTATAATTAAGTGGATTCATAACTGGTAGACCATCCAGACTCAAACTGTGGTATTAACAGGTCCCCATCAACAAGGAGGGACATTTCTCATGTCCAAGGCTATGTCTTCAGCCCAGTGCTGGTTGATTATCTTTATCAGCGACTTAGATGATGCCATAGAAGACACAATGCTAAATGGAATAGTCAAAACACTGGATGACAGGATCCAAAAAGATTCTTCAAGAAGACAAATCTAAAAAGATGAAATTTAATAGGGGTGTCATACTTTTGATTCACAAGTATAATATTGGGAAAGTACAGCTAGATAGCAGTTTGCATGAAAATGATCTGGGGATTTTCATGGACAAGTCAACAATCACATAGCAGCCTAAATAACAGAATGGTGAAAAACCTTGAGAACATGCCATATAAGGAATGATGGAAGGAACTGGGGAGGTTTAGCCTAAAAAGAAAATGACTTTTTTTTCCAGGGGTGGGAGTAGGAAAAATAGGCAGTGAGCAGAGACACAATATTCTTCAAGTGTTGGAATACCTATGGGAAAGGGAAAGACCTGTTCTGATTGTCTTCAGAAGGTAAAACTAGGTGGAGTGGGTAGAAATTGCAGAGAAGCAGATTTTGGCTTGATGTACAGAAAACAAATCCTTAACAATTAGAGCTATCCACATATGAAATGAGCTACTTTTTGGGGAAGGGATTCTCTCTGTATAGATGTCTTTAAGAAAAAGCTGAATGACCACTTCTAAGTGATATATTACAGAGAGCATTCTTAGTCAGGTACGGATTAGACTTAGCCTCTGGGATTCCTTGGATCTAAGATATAAGATTTGGGATATCTTCTTTCATCTTCCTGAGAAGGGAAGAGGAAAATCTTGGAAACAGTCTACTCCTGGCATGTAACTATTGAAATCAAAGAGTAGGGGAGGAAATATTGTAAATTAGACAAAGTACATCAGGATTTTAAGAATAGAGAAAAAGCCATGCAAAAAGTGGAAGTTTTTCTTAAAAGGCATGCGTTGTAGTAATGAGACCCCACTTATGGACTATGAGGTCATTATAAATATAGAATAAAAAAATGTATAGATTAAAATAAACTTCTACACCATTAAATTATGTTACTTAATCATAATATTTAGCTATACCCAAATATCATCTATGTTGTCACATTTCAGCTGATTATCCAGTCCTTTCTTACCTATCATCGGTTGAAGATTATTCTCCATTACAATAATGAATTGATGATATATCCGTATTGCCACATCACTGAGAATCTGTCTATACTCTGAAAGGTCAAAATTCATCAAACAATTCTTATTTTGTCGTGGAGTGTTATACTTCATAAATTCCTGAAAGTCAATTATGGGAATATAAACATTAGAAGACCATTTGCTCTGGTATTATAATAGACATTATTAAGTACATGCAGATAATGGATATACTTATTCATTGCCTTGATCATGAGCTTCTATTATGACCCTCCTTTATATTTTTTAGGTACTTTAGGCACATGATCTGCCTCTCACCACACCCCTCATTGAGAAAGCAAAAAAAAAATCCCCAATTTCTGTTTATAAAAATGTATAGTCAAGCAAAACAAATGACTGCATTGGCCATGTGAAAAAAAATTTGTCTTAATCTTCTGAGTCCACCACCACTCTTTCAGGAAGTGGGTAGCACATTCAATTATTTGTAAGAAAAATAGCAAAGCAAATGAACAGATTGAGTTAGCATGATCAAATAAACTGTGATATATTAAGAGTATAGTCTGTCATTCAAGGCTTGGTTACCCAGCTTCTATTTCTTTTTTAATAACTAATATATAATGTCCCTTCATAACTGTCCTGTACTTTCTGGTAAGCTTAGATTCTCCCAATTTTGAAGATGACAACTGTGATCTATCCAGACTGTCACACAGATGAAAAAGAACCTCCCTTTACTCTCCTCCTGGATCCTCTGAGATAGTGGCTTCATGACATTTGTCAAGTGATTGACTTTCAAAACATTTTTTTCCTCAGAATTAATTATAACAAAATAATCTATGCCATCACAATAAAGACAGACAGACATAATACAACCTCAGGATAGCTCACTTCTTTCTCAAACTGGGTCTATTATTTTTGGAAATAATTCTGAAAATTAACTAAAATTGACACCATCAATCTTTGTTGGCTCAATAAGCATCTCTCACAAATGGTAAAGAACAGATCATAAATGATAGAGGTAGGACAGACCAGTGAGTACCAATAGGGATATCTAAGTTAACATTAGTATCCTAATAATTAGTATCCTAAAAGGGATATGCATTCAACTTAGTAATCAATACATAAGCCAAAATGTATTGCTCCTATGAGCCTTAGGTCATACCATGTAGACTAAATGGGGGTGCTATGCCAATGGCTGTGGCTAATCAGCTATGTAAACCTGGACAAATCCCTTAGCCTCTCCAAACCCCAATTGCTTCATCTTTTAAATCAGAATAAGAGTAATCTGCACTATATACTTCATGGTACATTTGTGATAATCAGTTGAGGTAAAGTATATAATAAAGGGATTTGAAAAGAATAAAGTATTATATGAATGAAAAATGGTATTGTTCTAATCATTACATCAGCACATTTGTTCTATCAGTTCCTACTAGATTGCTTAGAATAGCCTAGAGAATGCTAGGTAGTTAACACAAAAGATGTAATGATCCCTACCTCTTCTCCACTGTATTGTTTCAGGCAGTTAAGGAAGTGGCATGTATTGGAAAGCCAAAAGGACAGCATCTCAAAATCTTCATAATGTTCCTAGAGAAAGATGAGGACACACAGAGTCAACAACATCTAATACTAGTGTCTCCAAGACACATTAACGGGCATCATCTTTCCTGTATAGGCGCCTAGTTATCTGGTGACTTGAAAACCAATGCCCTAAAGAATCATTTGACTGAAAATAGTTTTTATTCATTCATTAAACAAATATTTCCTTAAAGCCTACTAAATATCCATCTAGTACTTATGTGCAGAGAAGTGTTCTGGGCACTGAAGGAGATACAAAAGAAAGGTAAGACATAGTCTTTTCCTTATAAGAATTTGCATGCTAGTTCAGGAGACAAGATAAATACATATGAAGTGTTTAAGTAATGATGAAATTTGTAATTGAATAACAAAGTGAGAGTACAGATATTACATATTCAATGAATGGGGAAATTATTCAGACAACCCTTATGAAAGAGGTAGAATCAATCAAGAAGCATTTATAAAGTACCTATGTGAATTGGCCTCTCTTCCAACATTTTTATTTCTGTAATCAGTAAGTCAACAAGCATTATTTTTTTCTTTTTTAACTTTTTATTAATTTGTTTATTTTTAGTTTTCAGCATTCACTTCCACAAGATTTTAAGTCCCAAATTTTCTCCCCATCTCTCCCCTCCCCTCACCCCAAGATGGTGCTCATTCTGAATGTCCCTTCCTCCAATCTGCCCTCCCTTCTATCACCCTGCCTTTTTTATTCCCTTCCCCTTCTATTTTCCCCCCTCCAACTACCGTAATACCGAGAAAGGTCTCATTAGTTACAAATATCATCTTTCCATATAGGAATGTAAATAGTTCAATTTTAAGAAATCCTTTATGATTTCTCTTTCCTGTTTACCTTTCCATGCTTCTCTTGATTCTTGTTTTTGAAAGTCAAATTTTCTATTCAACTCTGGTCTTTTCATCAAGAATGCTTGAAAGTTCTCTATTTCATTCAATGTCAATTTTTTTCCCCTGAAGAATTATACTCACTTTTGCTGGGTAGGTGATTCTTGGTTTTAATACTAGTTTCTTTGACCTCTGGAATATCTCTTCCAAGTCCTCTGATCCCTTATTGTAAAAACTGCTAAATCTTGTGTTATCCTGATTGTGTTTCCACAATACTTGAATTGTTTCTTACTGGCTGCCTGCAAAATTTTCTCCTTGACCTGGGGACTCTGGAATTCAGCTATAATATTCCTAGGAATTTTCCTTTTGGGATCTCTTTCAGGAGGTGATCAGTAGGTTCTTTCAATTTCTATTTTGCCCCCTGGTTCTAGAATATCAGGGCAGTTTTCCTTGATAATTTCTTGAAAGATGATGTTTAGGCTCTTTTTTTGGTCATGGCTTTCAGGTAGTCCAATAATTCTTAAAATTATCTCTCCTGGATTTACTTTCCAGGTCAGTCATTTTCCCAATGAGATATTTCATACTGTCTTCTTTTTTTCAATTCTTTTGGTTTTGTTTTATAATTTCTTGATTTCTCAGAGTCATTAGCCTCCATTTGCTCCATTCTAACTTTTAAGGAATTATTTTCTTCAGTGAGCTTTTGGACCTCCTTTTCCACTTGGCCAATTCTGCTTTTTAAGGCATTCTTCTCCTCATTGGCTTTTTGGACCTCTTTTCATTTGAGTTAGTCTATTTTTTAAGGTGTTATTTTCTTCAATATTTTTTTGGTCTCTTTTAGCAAGCTGTTGACTTATTTTTCATGATTTTCTTGCATGACTCTCATTTCTCTTCCCAGTTTTTCCTCTACTACTCTTACTTGCTTTTCAAAATCCCTTTTGAGCTCTTCCATGACCTAAGACCAATTCATATTTTTCTTGGAGGCTTTGGATATAGGAGCCTTGACTTTGTTGTCTTCTGGTTGTATGTTTTGATCTTTGTCACCAAAGTAAGATTCTATAGTCTGAGTTTTTTTCCCTGCTGTTTGCTCATGTTCCCAGCCAATTACTTGACTTTTTAACTCTTAAGGTAGGGCTCTGTGTTCAGTGTGGAGAATGCATGGTCCCAAGCTTCAGGCTTTTGTGAAGCTATTTTCAGAGATACTTTAGGGGCCTGTAAATTTTCAGTTCTTCCCAGGTGGTATGATCAAAGGAGAGGTGTTTACTCCTTTCCTGGCCTGTGCTCTTGTCTATGAGTGACCACAAGCACTCTTTTATGCCTTGGAACTGTGAGGAGGATTCTTTCTGCAATGCTTCCTTAAGCTCCACCATATCAGTGCTCCTCTTTGCCCCAGGACTGCCACCCAGAACTTCAACCCAGATCCAAGCACAGGCAAAGCAAGAGAATCCTGCCTCAGTGGCAGCAAAGAGATCCCTGCAATCACCCTCTAATCAGCCCCTTTATCCCCCCTCTGTCTGTGGGCCAAGAACTCCAGAAGCAGCCACCACTGCTGCCACCCCAGGGCTCCACTAGGCTGGGTCCAGAACATACTCCTCTCTCACCCAGGTCTGACAGACCTTTCCTATTGACCATCTAAGTTGTTTTTGGCATTTGTGGGTTGAGAGGTTTGGAAACCACCACGGCTGCTAGTGATTTAGTCCACAAAGGCCTGTTCCAGGTTTGCTGGGCCTTGCCTTTGCCTGCACAGCCAAGGCTAAACTGTGTTCCTCACCCAGCTGGGTGCAACAGACCTTTCCCATCAACTATCCAGGATGTCTTGGGCTTGGACATTTGTTTCACTCTGTCTTTTTGTAGGTTCTACTGCTCTAGAGTTTGTTTAGAGTCATTTTTTACAGGTATTTGGAGGGGTTTCGGGGAGAGATCAAGCTTCTACTCTGCCATCTTGGCTCCACTCCCAGTCAACAAACATTATTTTAGTGCTTCCTATGTGCCAGACAGTATAGTAAATCCTGTGCATACAAAGAGGTAAAAAGAAAGTCTCTGCTCTTAAGGAGTTAATATTCCAATGGGAGGGAAGATAACATGTAAACAATGATGTCCATTCAAGATATATGATGTGTATATGGAAGGTATTCTTAGAGGAAAAGACTGGATCATGGAGCTGTTAAGAAGATTAAAGTGTATCTTTCTCTTAATCACACAGATTTAAAATCTTTGAGCCACTTCTTATTCCTCCTTTTCTCTTATCCCTACTATCCAAGTCGTTCACCAAAACCAGGGTCCCCTCCTTTCATTCCCGTGGTTATTATCATAGTTTAGGTCTCATCACCACATGTTTGTATTACTACAATAATATGGTAACTGGTCTTCATATTTCTAGTCTCTTTCCCTTCCAATTGGCCCTTTGTATTTCCTCCAGGCTAATCTTACTAAAACATAGCTTCCATTGTATGACTCCCCCTCCCTTGAAAATCCCCAATGACTACCTATTATCTGCTGGATAAAACCTAAACTTCTCGGATGCTTAGGAATAACACTGCAGAGTGGACAAAGGGCTACACTTGTAGTCAGAAAAACCTGGGTATAAATTCTGCTTCAGATACTCACTTTGCAACCCTGGGAACATCACAGCATTACTGTGAGAATTAAAGGAGATAGTATATGGTAAACACTTTTAAGTGCCATATAAGTGTGAGTTATTGTCATCTCCCACTATTCTGCTCTCCCAGAATTATCTATTTACTTTCTCACAAATATATAACACCATCGTCTGACTTCAAGCCTCATGCCAATTCCATTATTTGCAATGGCTTCCCCAAGCTAGCATTGGGTCAGGGCTGGTGGGGTTCTACCTTATGACATCATCATTCAAAAAGACACCCTTTCTTCCTACAGTAGAGTAGTGATGTCAAACTCTAGAAACAGGGATCATTAATTCATACATAAGGATTCCTGTGAATCACATACTGACTTAATTTTAAAATGTAACATTATCTATGTTTTATTATATTTTTATTTATTATGATAAATATTTCCCAATTACATTTTAATTTGGTGGGTGTTTGACACCCCTGGTCTAAAGAATACTGGCCTATGTCCTTTTGGAGGTTGGTGGGCAGAACCTGAGAAGTCATCAGCTGGTGGGGAAATGGGCGGCCTTTTCTCTTAGCACACTCTACCTACAGTTAGATTGTCCTCTGTGTTCTCATTGCTCTGAGCCCTCAGTATGGAACTTCCTAAACAGTGGAATGATATGATGAATGCTATTTTAAGAAAATTGGTCTGACAGGATTCTCTCTATATCTCTCTCTCTATATATATATAGAGATCTATATCTATATAAATATAGATACATATATGTATGTGTGTATATATATGTATATATATGTATATGTGTGTATACACACATACGTATGTATAATCTGTCTATGTATACGCTATATTGCTTAGGGAAGCAGAACTAGAGAAAAGGAGACTAGATACGCTTTTTTGAGTGATACAGACATCGTGTAAAGAAGGTCTGGACCTATCAGGGGAGTAGCAATCATGGAATATATCACCAGGAATCTGGTGACTGACTGGATTTATAAATGAAGAAATGTTAAGAACCACAATTGATTCTGAGATTTTTGATCTTGGGATAATAGTGGTGCTGACTTTGCAGTTAGATGATCTATTCAAATCCCACCTATGACATTCCTTTTATGTCACTGAAAAATTCACTTAAACTCTCTGGGCCTCAGTTTACACAATGAGAGGATTAGATGCACTGTTGGTGGAGTTGCGAACCAATCCAACCACTCTAGAGAGCAATTTGGAACTATGCTTAAAAGGCTATAAAACTATATATCCTTTGATCTAGCAATACCACTATTAGGTCCGGATCTCAAAGAGATTAAAAAAAAGGAGAAGGACCTATTTGTACAAAACTATTTATAGCCACTCTTTTTGCAGTGGCAAAGAATTAGAAATTTAGTGGATTCCCATCAATCGAGGAATGGCTGAACAAGTTGTTTGTATATGATTGTAATGGAATACTATAAGGGATGATGAGCAGGCTGATTTCAGAAACACCTGGAAAGACTTACATGAACTCATGCAAAGTGAAGTAAGCAGAACCAGAACATTGTTCACAGTAACAGCAATACTATGCGATAAACAATTATGAA